ACGTCCTTCAGTTGGTATTTTTAAACAAACTACACCTACTGTGGTTACGACCTCAAGTCCAGAAATTGAATGGTTTCTTCGCACGCACTCTGGAACTGATAGCGACGTTAATTTCAATCATAATTTTTTTCTACAATCCATTGTATTTGGAAAGTTTTTTGTTGCTATATTTTAAGATCTGTGCAAGAACTCAGCTAACAAATGTTTCCGTATACATATAAGCTATCTTCAAATCTATTGTATCTTACGACAGCTTGTGATCGTAATGGTGAGAATGAAGTTAAAGAAAATTAACTATTTTGTTTAATTTGCAGACGTATAAGACATTTAACAGACATATAATACGATATTTTTTGTTTGTAATTAAGCACAAAGCTACACAATTGGTTACCTGTGCTCTGTCCACTACAGGTATCAAAACCTGGTTTCTAGCACTGTAAGTCCGCAGGCATACCGCTGTGCCACTGGGGGGCAATGCGAGATAATAGTGCAGTGTCACAGTTAAATGTAGATGACGACGATCGTTCTGCTTTAGTTTAAGAATGCATTAAATTTGGGTAAACGAATATTTCAGTTGTTTTATTAGTAATTTGTCCCCCAGAGATTCAGCAGCAAATTTTAAGGCTTGTAACACTAAAAACCGGGTTTCGATACCTGTGACGGACGTAGCACAGTAACCCATTGTGTAGCTTTGTACTTGAAAACCAATGAGCAAACAAATTAAATAAAATATAAATGCGAAGTTACAAGAAAAGAATGTATTACTTTGTGAATTTCAACGGTTAGAATTTCTAATTTTTATAAATATTCTTTACGAAAGATGAACAATCATTTTCTTTACAACTCATTCTTTGTGCTCTACAAATGATCAAATATCTAGCAGTTGCAATTATTGTTTTCTTAATAACCACTTCTGAAGTAACGTTTTCTGAAGTAACATCCTGATAAGCAATTAGGTTGTCTAAATTTGACAACAACAACAACAAAAAAAAATCCAAGGAACAACAAAACGACATAAATGAATGATCTACCTGGCCCCAACTATTGCTCATTGGTCAAATCCTTTCATGAAATCTTGAATGGAAGCGCACAAAAGAAGAAGAAAAAAATAGAATGTGACTTGTTTGCATTCAGTGCGTTTCTCTCTAAAGCAGAAATTACGACATTTCCTGACGTCTGTACTCCTGAAAATCACTAATAATAGTACCGAAATTATAGAATTACGATTTTTCTGAGCAGTTATGCTACAAAATATACATTTAAAAAGTAAGTGAATGTTATGTTTGACATGTAGTTTTGTAGAAACTTTATAAAATTTTATTAATGGCCAAAAAAACGCTTTTTGAGATATAATATACACATGAACAGATAAAATGAATAATAAACTTTGGATTCTTTTGAATAAGAGAAAAAGGTGCACAACCTTAAAGTGCCAGAAAATTTAACACCGTAAACTTCATATTTTGAAGTAAAACCATAGATCTGTAGACGCCAGGTTTCACGTTACACCATAGCTTCATACCTCATAGCATGTTAGTTAATTGTATAATTAAATTTGTCTATTTCTATTTCCTGTAATTACCGTGAAAAAATGGAGATATGGTATTATAAATGTGTCGCCAAATCCTGTGTTTTTTATCATCACTGTTTACAAAATTTGTTTTTGTTTGTTTGTTTTGAATTTCGCGTAAAGCTACACGAGAGCTATCTGCGCTAGCCGTCCCTAATTTAGCAGTGTAAGACTAGAGGGAAGGCAACTAGTCATCACCACCCACCGCCAACTCTTGGGCTACTCTTTTTACCAACGAATAGTGGGATTGATCGTCACACTACAATGCCCCCACGGCAGAAAGGGCGAACATGTTTGGTGGGACTGGGATTCGAACCCGCGACCCTCAGATTGCGAGTCGAGCACCCTAACCACCTGGCCATGCCGGGCCCACGAAATTTGTTCATCCTAAATTTAACGACAACACAACAAGAATGAATTAATCGATCCATTTGATAATATCTACTCAAAAGAATGAAGGAAAAACTAGTATTAAGAAGAAGTGAAATTGCTTAAAAGTTCTTGCTTACACGCGTACTTTGTGCGAAATATACGTCTAAAGAGGTAGGTAGAGTTTGGAATGTTTTTCGCTTAGTCACATGTTTTCTACCTTGTCCTTACATAATCCCCCCCCCCCTTCATCCAGTTTCTATAAAGGCGGAGAGCCTTTCTTAAATATTTTCATAAATTAACTTATTTAAGTTTTCTTTACATGTTTTTCAACTTACAACTTTTTATTACGATATTTAGTGTGATCTGTCTTTCATGCATAGTGTTAAGTATATAAATATTAATGTTTTTTATGCATCTGATTACGTCTCTTATGTTTTTCACTTTTCTTTTTTAATTCGTCTTTCCAATTAAATCTTTGAAGTCTGGGTATATTTATGGGTATCTAGTAGTTATCTGTGGATTAACTATTATTAATCAAGAACACCATAGTGGCGAAAGAAAAATACATTTTGGTGCTATGACCAGGATTTAATCTGAGTAAAATCCTATGCGGTATTTCTCTGTTTAGAAGTGCTACGACTTAATAAGGGTTTCTCTAAGCACTTTCGACCCAAGTCAGCTTCCAACATTCTCCATCTTGATGGAGGAATGTGTAGTGGCATGAAATGAAGATGGTTGGTAGATAAGGTAAAAGAGCATAAACTATAACAGGAACATCTAGAAAGATGTAGATGAGCTTTCAAAGACTGATACTTGTTCCAAGAGGATTTCCTCTTGGCAGTTTTAGGACTCTTATCAAAACTCAGCCTCAAACATTCGGGCAGAGACAAATCATGTGTGGCACCAGTAATGTGCGGATTTTCAGAACCTGAATGCAAATCTCGTGTTTGTAAGAACGTAGTAGAGACCATAAGTAAAACAATTACATAAGTTAACTTATTTAGAAAAATGCCTTTAGGAATCTCGATAAGGCTCAGCTAGGTAACTGAGATTCCACTCAGGAGAAATAAAGCTTGCTGATGTAGATCTAAGGTCTTCCAAAGAAATCCATGAAACACCACATGGGTAAAAAGTAATACTTTTACCTTTACAGATGAAATTCTGGGTGCAACGAGATCTGAAGTAATGGCTTTGAATACGTTGTATGAGGAAAGCTTGCAGCTATTGCTATATAAGGCCTGCCATCTGCAGAACTTTGCAAAACATATACACTTCAAAGGACTCAGAATCAACCAAACATTTATTGGACACAAAAGTCGTCAAATGTTGTGGTCCAGAGTTAATCACACTATTATGACAGTGTTCCTTGAGTATCTGCTGCTATATTCAACGAGAGAATAGTGAAGGAAGAAATATATTTTCCACATACATGACCATATGTGATACACGTTTTTAAATATAGGGAAAGTATAATATTAATCGAATTGCTTTAGATGAAGTAACATATAAAAGTTGAACCAAGTCATCAAATTTACAAATCCAGGTAGCACCATTATAATCTGGCCTATCTGATAACATATACGACAACAGTGCTCAGCTGGTTGTTCTACTGGTGTGTAAAACCAACTACAGTATCTTTTCTTGACGCATATATATATATATATATATATCACCTTATTGTCAGTAGTACAAATGGTTTCAAGATTAATAGTTTTTCTCGGAGATGCCAGTTGAGAGCAGATGACAGTAAGATAAACAAAATCCATTTAAAGGCATTCTTATGCCAAAATGAAATATTACTACAGTGTTGCTTAACTTCATATTACGAAATACGTCTGTAGGATGAACTCTGTTTCCTTGCATGGTACTGTAGGAATATTTAGGGCAAATGGTGCTGGCTTTGAAGTTCTGAGTCTGCTGCATAGATCAAGAGAGAGTTTAGAAGCTTATGAAGCAGCCAGTTCTCTGAGGACTAAACATAGGAGTGCTGGTTTTGCAGAAGAACCGTCCTTTGCGAAATTGTATGGAAGAGTCTGGAATGAATTGTTGGTCACTAATTTGGTTGAAAGTAACCGTATGAAATTGAAGTACACTAATCTTAACGTGTTTAGTTTGTTAAACCTGTATCATTTGATATACCAAAAAACTATCAAATGATATATATATATATATAGTATATATATTTGGATTATAAGTCACATGCTGCTTTAGTTTGGTTGACTCCTATTATATGGTCTATTATATTATATTATGAACTGGATCAGTTGACAGATAAGAGAGTATATAGTTGTGGTTTATTTTTGTGGAAACCTTGAAATAATAGAAGTCTTGATATTCTGACGAAGTGACTTAGAAAAGTGACAAGAAACTGTGATGACAGGTGAAACAAATGGCATCAAAAGTTGTTATCAACTTCAAGTCACTTTCATATGAACATTCTGGGTAAAAAATAAACAAATATGCCATTATAAAAAGAAAGAAAATGCATATGATAGAAACAGTGGTCATGATAAACTTTTAAATTATTTTAGACACAATTACATTAATAGATATCCAAAACTTTTTATATTGGATACGTAATCTACCATTATATTAATTGTGAATTAATGGCATAAATAATTGTGTGGTTTAAAATTTACCTACAAGAATGAGAAATACCATCACACACACACACACACACATCTCTTGTTACACAACATATTCAGCTAATTACGCCTATAGTTCAAGGACATTTTTCCTGGACGTCCTCAAAAAGACGTTGAATGTACCTAAAACACTAGATCATTTTCTATGAAAACAAATAGATTAAAAGATTTAAAAATATAAGGATTGTATAATCAGGAAATATTCCAGTGAAAACTCGTTAGGATATATATAATGCTTGTTATTACTGATTTACTGGATTATGTATCAAGCGCCCCTATTTTTAGCTGTGTGCACAATAAATGTTAGTATTTTGATTTCATATTCATGACAAAGCTGTTAAAGCTATTTGCTGCCGTCCCTAATATTGAACTAATCACCAGAGGGATGGCAACCATTCAGCAGTAAACTACTACCCACCATTCACGCTAAGAGGTTGGCCGTCGCTCTTGTAACACTCCAAGGTTTAAAATGTAGGGAATATTATGTGATATGGCATGGATTCGAACCTGACTCGTCGTCTTCGAAATTCAAAGCTCTTTCACAAAATCAACCCGTACTTGTAAATAATGGTGAGTTAATTACCAGTGTAAGATTCTATATACTTGTATTTTGTATAGGTATTAATTGAGCAACGTAAAAGATGTAACAAGGATAATACAATTTCATGAACAGTATTCTAGTATAAAGTGGTACTCAAAAAGAATTATAGACTTATTGTAAATCCAGGCTGATAAGATAAATAAAGATAATAGCTTTCAGTAGCTTTGATGTTTGAATATAATTAAAATTGTTGATGAAAATCTTAAAAAAACGTGCTTTTAATTCAGTACAAAAATATGGACAGCAATATAAATCTAGCTGATCAGAGTTAATATTCAAAACACAAGTGAATACTTCTGGGCTTTTTGAAGGTTTGATTCCATGATTCTTTTACTTTATATTCAGAGTAATATTTACAATTATTTGTACGAAAAGGAAATTGTGATATTTTGTTTTTAATTAAAGATCCTTTAAAGTTGTTTGAAATATAAGTAATTCTAGCTTTGTGTTGAAAATAGGTATGATATATGTAAAAAGCTTCATGTTTATTGAATGAAATAATTAATATGCACCTTTATATAAGATCATAAATAGTATTTAAGATATTATCGTTATGTTGTCTCTGATTTAAATTTGATATTAATATATCAAATTCGTTTTGTTTTTCTATGTCTATTCAACAGCTTTTTGTTTAGCTCATTTTATAGACGTAGAAACAGAACTATGGACTTCATGAATAGATCGATTCATGGTGAGTTTGAGCATTTCAAATATGTCATTATCTACAATTAGTTTAGATATTTTGATAAGTTACTTTAAATACTATAATTAATACACAAACTTTAAATTATAGAAAAAGTCTTTTTTTCAGCTGTTTATATGTTATAAAAGAATATTTTTCAAAAACAGAATTTTTACAAAAATTATAGCAGTTGATTATCTTAAATTCAATAGTTTAAAGCAATAACTTAATTTAAATTGTAACATGAAGTTAGTTTAACACGGCCTGAGGTAATAAAGGCGTAGGTTGTTGTGCTATGTTACGCTATAACTCCACTCCCGTAAAATATTTTAATTAGATTTTAGTCTAAATTTATAAATCCTTAGTTCCTGTTTATAACATGGGAACCTGTTTGCTCCAGGAAATCCTGTAGTATTCCCGTTCCGAGCCTACTCTTTTGTGGTGACTTTTAGAGCTTAATTTTAGGTCTTTTGAGTCCACAATGTTAACGATGTTTTTGTTTCTAAATGTAAATCATAAATTCACTTATTCAAGTCTTTCCCGCATACTTATTTACTTATACTTTACATTTACTTATAGCTGTCTAACGTTTCGTAGTATTGCCTAGAATATTTCATTTTTAGTGTTTCATATTAAACATATAAATAAATCCATGTTTTATGTTGTACATCTGGTTTACTACCTTAAGTTCCTCATGTATACCTTTTAGTTCGTTTTTATTGAATAATTGAACTCTTTGTTAGTTTTGATCAATTATCAATAGTCAAGAATTACTTACTAAAATAATACAATAATACACATATCTTTGTCTAATAATCTACTCAAAACTAAAGCCTAGAACTCGAAACGTGGATATGTTTGTCCAAAATATCAAGTATTCTCCATTTGAATAGGTAATAGTATATACATGTCTTCTTTGCATGCTTAGGGGGCGGGGGTCTTATTCTGAGTATCTACAATATGCAACTGTTTACAGTATATTTTGATTTAATATTATACATCGTTACTGAAGTACCAGTTCCACAGATTAAGAGATCAGACTGATATATTAGCAAAGTTAAATGCGAAACTTGCCAAAACTAATATATTGTGTATGTTTGCGCTAAAACAAATATCAATATAAAAATGTAAAATTTGGAGCTACATGTTGATAGGTTATAGAGATTTTCTGTTATATGTCCCATTAAAAGTTCATTTTAAAAGCTTGTAGAGGAAACATATGGATGCAATCGCTACACAAGTACTGTAATATTTTCGCGTGATTTTAAAATTATTTTTATATTTAATAAACATTTGACACTTTGAGTCTTTAGTGTAAGGATATTAAAAAAACAAATACCAATGTATATCTTTCAGTTTGTGCATTAGTATGCAAAGCACACAATGTAAGAACAGCTAGGTCAATGAATGGTTAGTGTAGCTACACTACAACACAGTGATAAATCAAGTCACACATTGGAGAGAAGTCGCCTGTGGTGTAGAAGTCCAAACCAACAAGATATATTTGACATAGCTTAATCAATAACTCAAATTTGGTTGTTGATCAGCAGCAGAATTATGTCATATCTATCACCTATGTCAGATAAGAGGCGAGCAATCATTCCTTGAAATATTGAAGCGATTGGTTCTCAACCATACAAGTCACTTGATGGGTCAGGTTTACAGAATTACAACGAAAAAATGAAGGTTTCGATTCCTTGTGGTGTACAGAGTGCAGAAAACAAAAACAAATCTCAACTACTCGTAACAACGAAACGTTTTGAGTTACTCTCCATGGATAGGAAATCTTACCTTTTCTTCTTCACCCAAACTTTGGTAAAACAAATGTCTTACAAACATATTATAACAGAAGGTAATTTAAAACATATACTACAAAAGTCGTTATAATGCGACAAAAACAACAAAACTAGCACAGAAAAAAGAGGCTGTAAAATACGATAAGTTTCATTAAACAGAAGCAGTAATTGTACATCATTATATATATATATATATATATAAACAGTTGTTTGTTTATCTCTTCATAGTCCTATCGGTCATCAACAATACGAGTAAGGGTTAATAAGTTTCAAATGCCACTTTAAAGGTTAGGGTGGCCGAGAAAGGTACGGCGTTTCCTACTGGACCTCCGTACTTCCCCACCACACACGTTGTGAAGGACCACCCAGGTTGCCTGCAGACTTGTGCTGTGATGCAATTCTATAGTGTGCTTCTGCCTTTCATACCCGTGTGGACCCTCAAATTTCTTTTCTGGCTACTGGGCGTCGGTTGGATGCACGCACTTTCCGGATGTACCCATTTTTATCAAACACACGCAATCTATTCAAGCGTGTTCCAAGCAAGCAAAAAATGAATAGGTTGACTCAAACACTCTTCTTTTGCTTTATTACAATACTTTGCCTGCTTAGTCTCCTTCACTTCCTCAAAAGATACTAGGCTACAGCATTTGTGTTTTGAATCTTTAAGGGAGAGCTTACAATAGATAAATGCCTCAGTTAAACACATACGATTTTGATAGATTGTACTTTTCATGTTTCTCAATTACTAGTCATTAAAGTTGACTTACGCATAATTACAGCTATGTACAAAACAGATAGTGAATGTATACGCCCATAACCTTATGCATGTTAGGAATAAAACGTTTTGTTTATATAATGGAAAATTTTGTTTTCAAAGCACTTTATGAATCGGGATTATCGATCTAAATGAGCAAACTGGCCTTAAACAAATTACCTTGTAACGGGTTTGAACATATACATGGAATTGTCGTAATATGATTAACTGTAAGATCGCATATCAGCATATATGAATAAATGAAATTCTGTAAACGATTATTTAAAAATCAGAAAAGTGGAATCCTTCTACCCACCAATGTTTCAGATGGCCAACTTGTTCAACAGGATTGAATCAAAAAAAAACAAACTCAAACATAAAAATTTGATACAAAATATTGAAAATACGGTAATACCAAAAACATCTTTAATACGGACGTTTCAAAATTTCTTAAATTCCATCATCAGCGTTAATATAACTACGAATATTCGAGTATTATGAACTAATTTTTTTAGAGATAATAACATCCGTATCAAAGATGTTTTTTCTATTACTATGTTTTTAATATTTATTATAAAACTTCCTTTTCCACTTGATGTTTGTTTGTTTGCTTGTTTTTGAATTTCGCGCAAAGCTACACGAGGGCTATCTGCGCTAGCCGTCCCTAATTTAGCAGTGTAAGACTAGAGGGAAGGCAGCTAGTCAACACCACCCACCGCCAACTCTTGAGCTACTCTTTTACCAACAAATAGTGAGATTGATCGTCACTTTATAATGCCCCTACGCCTAAAAGGGTGAGCAAGTTTGGTGTGACGGAGATGCGAACCCGCGACCCGCAGATTGCGAGTCGAGCGCCCTAAATATCTGGCCATGCTGGGCCTCGTTTCCCGAGTGATTTATAACTTATAATGGCGCGGATAGTAGTTAGACACGGTTCAAAGAGCAACAAAAAGAGCAATAAAACAATAACATTTAATTATAAATAGATGTATACTGTTACGAACTTAGAGCTACTTAAGATAAACGAATGTGTTTCATGTTACAATTTGAAGTCATTGTAGAAAAGAAAAAGGTAATTTAGGTTTATTTTGATTTGTTTTGTTTGGTGGTTACGAAGTCGGTTGAATTGACCGATCCCTTTTTGAGATAGGGTAGAGAAAATAACAAATAAACTATAAAGTTTTAGTGAAAAAAACGTTTGAAATGCATTTAAGAGGTTTTAGGGATTACACAGAGGAAATTTGAGATTTTTGAGATGAGGAAAAGTATTTGTAATTTTAACAGGAAAATTGCTTTGCATACGGACTATTCAAAACAAATACTCAATATATGCATGAAGAAATCTATATTTTATCTTCTCTATTGGATGACATATTAATATATCCTGTTGTAGATATCTTAGCTGAACAATGAGTATCACACATCCAAGCACCTGGAGAGGTCCACACAGGTCAAGGAGCTACATTCAATGCCACACTATTGCTTCAATACAGTACCAGCTGCTTGATGAAAGTTGTTCAGATTGTTAGGTGTGGTAAAAATGTGCAATTCGCATTATCATCCTCAGTCTAATGGTATGGTTGAATAAACAAGTATAAACTGTTGACTGCAATAAGCACCTGTTATAGGCCATGATAATATACAGAACAACTGTAAACAGTAAACTAATTGTTCTCAAAATCTCGTGAGGTTTGGGCCAAAATTGCAACTCCCAGTGATGTATGGCCCTCTTCCCAATGTAGATGTGTTTTAGTGTCCACGGAAAATGTTGAATGGATGAATGAATTTATATATAAGCAAATGTTTTAAAGCAGCGGTGTGCCAAAATATATGTTAGAGGAAAACAATAATACAAGAAAAATTCCAGTAAGATAATTGGACCTGACTGGTAAGAAACTAGGTTCTGGCTGTAGAGATCCAAATGTTGTCTGTTGACAGCTCAATGCATTGAAGTTATAGTGGGGTGTGAAACATGCACTTGTGATCGACATGTGAACAAGCTTAAACTCTACATACTGTTACTTCAGGAATCAAGGGTAGATGAGCAAGTTCACAAGAAAAAAAAACGTGTGGTTTTGAATGCTAGTAAAGAAGCTGAAGTCAGTCCTAAATTGGAATATTTGTAAGGCATGTGATGTGTTTTTGGGAAGAAGATACGCAATGTTTATAGAATCTACACAACACGAGGTGAAAAACATGGTTGACCCATTGCTTTTCCCAGTACTGATGAAGGAAGTCATTATGGACGAATTGCATGTTAGCTACATTCATTTATGGATTATCTCTCACCAGTCCAATATGATTCTGATGAATAAAAAAAGCTAAACTAACTTTTAAAATTAAAACAAGAATGAAAGCAAATCCTTTGAGGTTTCAAGAATCTAAGTACCACAAAATTTCAAAATAAAATCTAAATTCAAATTTAATCCCTCTGAGAATGTCTCAATACATCTAAATTC